TGAATGTATCCTAGAATATGTTGTTTCTCCTGTTTTAAACTTTTATGTAAATGGAATCATATTTAATATGCTGTCTTACTTTTTCACTCTACTTTGTGATTGGAAGGTTCCTCTATGTTGTTGCACCTGTTAATTTATTCCTTTTCATTGCAGTTGATGGGCTGTCTTAGTTATCAGTGCTGCTGTAACAGAGATACCACAAGTGGGTGGCTTTAACAAACAAATTTATTTTCTCACAGTTTAGGAGGCTAGAAGTCCAAATTCAGGGTGCTGGCTCTAGGGGAAGGCTTTTTCTCTGTTGGCTCTGGAGGAAGGTCCTTGTCTATTTTAGCTTCTGCTCTTGGGTGATCTTCACGTGGCTTGACATCTCTTTTCCCCCATCTCTGCTTCTGCTGCTTGCTTGTTTAATCTCTTTAATATCTCAAAAGAGATTGATGTAAGACACACCCTACACTAACCCTGTCTCATTAACATAGCAGACAATCCATTCCCAAATAGGTTTATAACCACAGGCAGAGAGGTTAGCATTTACAACACATATTTTGGGGGGACACAATTCAATCCGTAACATATGCCAGTGGCAAGGGCTGTAGTGGATCTGCTCTTCCCCATGTTGAGCCCTGTCAGGAATGGTTGCTTGCCCACCCCTCAAGTTCATGTGAATTAACCTTCTCTCGTTGGGAAGGCAATTCCTTCTAAAACACACTCTATGACTTCAAGGAACAGGATAGCGCAACTCTGCCTGAGCCAATCACCATGATCCCAGGTCATCCTGGCTCATACTCCATCAGGGAGGCCTCGAGCACCAGCAGGCTGTTCTTTCCTCCCTCTTTCCTTTAGCCTCACTAGTTGTCATCTTCCTGGAGAGCTAGAAAGCTGAGAGCAAGGGGGCCATGGAGTCATTGGTGCCACAATCCTCACTGGCCTGGATCCAGCTTAGATAAATACATCCCATCAGGCTCACGCCCCCTCGCTTCCTCTTGGGTGGATATGTAAAGCATCTGGGAAGCCAACAGCTGCCACCTTCCACCCCAAAGTCGGTGGTGAGGTAATCGCCATACATAGTCTGTCAGCGCCTTGGGGTGAAAAGCGCTCTGTGTGGAGGAGAGTGCATTACTGTGTTTCTCTGGACTTCCAGGAGCTCTTCATTGATGGCCTGGCACTGAAGTGAGGTGAAAAGTTAACCAGTTTTCTTGCCTCCACAAAAGCATCTTTCATCCACAATAGACTCCAGATTGGAGGAAAGATTTCACTACAGAGTGGCCGGAGACAGCAGCTCTGTTGAAGTCACTGACCACCCCCACCCCAACCATTTCTGAGGAGTCCTGCTGTCACTCAGCATGCTAGGGACAGGCACATGGAGTCTAAGAACCTGACAGCCACTGTGTTTCAGGATGGGGAAGCGAGACAACATTCACATTTGACTGGGGCTGGCCCTGAAAGAGCAGGCTCTGTCACCTTGGCTGATGGGAAGTGGACAAAAGTAGCTCTGTGGTGCAGAACAACTGGTGGCTCTCAAAGGACAGGGGCAGTATCTGTGGGAAAGGCTGTTCCAATCTGGTTGTTAGCACTTGAACAAAGGGGGAACTCATCTTGACAGCCCACCTAAGTGTCAGGCACTAGATAACTGTGAGGATAAATGAACATTCAGTGATGGTCATGCAAGATAGCAATGGAGCACTGTTCCCTCCATTCCCACACCTCCCTGTGGTTCCTGCCTTCCTCAGAGGTTTGGAGGAGGGGCTGGAGGAGAGTGCGTCTTAGCCACGTTACTTCTCAGAAGACAGCAATGGTAATGACACGTCTGCTTGCTTTTACTTCTTACCAAAGTCAAAATGGCCGGTGCCCCAATTCCAGTCTCATCTCTGTGGGAAAGCAAGCAAATCCAGAATATCTGAGATGGTCTTTTTCTCTGACTTTGAAATTTTTTACTATATGAATTTCACCTTTCCAAAAATATCCTATTTATAGTACAAAAAAAGCATAGTGATACAAAACCATTCTCCTCAGATGTAGTCACTGTATAGTTGTGCGTCCCTCAAGATCATCTAGGTATACCTACATATTCCCTTCTCGGCCCCCAAACTGCTTTCCCTCCAGAAATGTTACATACAATACAGCTGTATCATATAAGTGTTTAACTTGCACAAATGTAACGATTTGTAATTGGCAGAAGAAAGGTGCCAGGTTCATTCCGCTAAACAAGCACATGCCCCAGAGTAAACGTGAATGGAAAAAGCAATGTAAGGTTTCAGCTCCCTCATGGGATTCCAGGGTTTAAAGAAATATTTTTTTCCTAAGTCCCTAAACTCAAGGCAAGTGCTCCATCTGGAGTACTTTCATAAGGAAATGGTAGGCTGTTCCAAGGCTGGGGGACACTAACCAAAGAAACCAAGTCCGTTGCTGTCGAGTCGATTCCAACTCATAGCGACCCTATAGGTAGGACAGAAGATGTGCTGATTATTACAGGAACATGTGGGCCTCCAATATAGTACCTGCCTAAGGTAAATCTCCGTAGAAATTTCCAGCCTTGGAAACCCTATGGGGTCGTTACGAGTCAGGACTGACTCGACGGCAGTGGGTTTGGTTTTTTCGAGGTGTTAAGGGCAGTCTGGATGTGCCATTTTTGTCTTAAACTCAGTTTAGGACCTAATCCCTAGCAAGATGATTCTATTGGTCAGACACAGTTCATGTTTCTTCCATTTAGTTTATCTTGGAAGTTGTTCCAAATCAGTATCTACATGTATCTGTCTGGTTCTTTAAATGCTCATTGCAAACTAGTTCACGGCATGAATGTACGAGATGTTCTTTGGAAATAATTCTATTTCCATATCATGAAGGAAAGCGAAATGCCACCATTGAAAAAGACACAAAATAGGACAAATTTACCAACCCAGTTTATTCATCTCCAGATTATGAGTATCACACAGCATATGATACATATATTTAGATAATACAGAAAACAAAGAACACACCATAGAAAGACAGATTGGTCTGAAACTGTCTTGTTGGACATCTTTAATTCTGTACGTTCGTGGTAGATGCATTTCCCCACTCCCTGGGGCAGGCAGCAGGAGAAACTTCAGCATTCACGAGTCACTCAAAGGACGGCTTATCCCTCACTGTACTTACAAGGCAATTACGGAGTCATGGCAGGGTCACTGGGGTCCATCACAAGGGACACCAAGTAGGAGATAAAAGAACCACAGCACAGTGAACTAATAAATATTCCGGCTTTTTGCATTGTCCTCCAGATAGTTTCCTTTTTAAATGAAGAGTCATGTCCAGGGTCAATCCCTCGGTTTGCATTCCAGTTATTGCTAGAGGGGACAAAGAGGAAAGGTTTCTGTTTAAATTATTAGAAAAGAGATGGTCACTGTCACCAGCACCATGCCTCTGGTGACACTCGAGTGGACCTGGGCTGGGGGAATGCACATACATCAGCAGGCAGGCATGGAAGCGCCGCCATTGTGTTAGAGGGGACTGAGTGCTTGGGGTAAAGAGGTTCAGATGGAGAATCTTCTTCGAACAAGGCCTCTGAGCAGGAAGCAGCAGGGTGCCCTCAGGAGGGGCAGGATCACCTTGTGGAGGTGAGGAGGGCAATAACTGGACACTTCGCCGGATCATTCCTGATGGCAGAAGACAACTCAGGATCTTATAATATAAAGGTACTCCAAAGCCTCAACACAGAGCTGCTCTGCAGTTGATCCCTTAGACAGTATTCTCCAGGAAGCTACTCCCCACAGCTCACTGCCTGGCCTTCCCATGAGGCAGCCAGCTTACCTTTGCCTTGTTCTGAACTGGGAGATACAGTTTGAACTCCGCCGGCAGTTCGTCTTCTGAGTAGAGTCTGTCTGAGAAGTAAACCCGTCGGATGCGACAGTTCGCATGGATCTGTGGACGCAAGACTTATTTTCAGAAGCTAAACGTTACTGTCTTTCCTTTTCCTGATTCTCCTAGAGCCGCTCTCACGGTGCTGGCAAAGCTCTCTCTCTTCAGCATCTCCTCAGCTTGGCGTGGGGGGATTCTGGCAAGAGGGAGTATTTGCTGCATTCTCCCAGTATATCTGAGCAGACTTCTAAAGATTTCCTGAATCCCTTCAAGGCTAAAGCCCTCTGGACAGAGACTTGGGAACTTTAGCCAGAAACGCACACAACTGTGTCACTCGGGCCACCAGGCAGTGTCAGAGAGAGCACAGCCTCCCTCCCCCTACCTGAGGCTCCAGCCGGAAAAGGAGCAGGTACCTGCACTCTCAGGGTCTCGATGTAATTTGTGCCGTACGCCCGCCGTGTGAAGTCTGACAGGTTGAACTGAATCTGGTTCCAGCCATCATCCAGCCGCATAGGCATGGTACAGATGAAGGGTTTGACCCGGGTAGTGCTCTGGTAGTTACTTGCCCGAAACCGCCGACGCACATTCTTGTCATCAAGTACCTGTGAGACAGAGAGAAGAGTCACGTTAGCTCAGTCTTGAAGAAGCACACGGCCGAGGACCTGAACTCACACAGGCCAGTTTCCCAAGGCTGAGACCTGAGCGAGAATAAACAGCCCAGATACAGGTCACACCGAACACAGATGGCCCGGGAGTAGCAAGTTTATCTTACTTGCTGCCAAGACAACACCAGCTGCTTAGGACATAGGAGGGTGACTCTCAGATCATGGAATGATTTCATAAAAGTTCTTCCCTTTGGAAAATCAAAAATACTAAAATAGTGACCAACAATAGCCCAGTATTAAATAACTACTCCCCAAACGGACACTATTCTAACGCTTAAGCTTTGAAATCTTGCAGCTATCGACCAGATTTCCTAGGTGGTTACTATTTGTTTAAAAATCTGGCATTAAAGTTTGATCACTAATACCAAATTTAAATCATAATAACAAGAGCTACATTAAACTAACTGTAGAGATGGAAAAGAATACATACAAAAGGATAAAGATACTTTCCCAGGGCCCCTATTTCCTGTAAGAGGAAAGGCTATCTCTTTGGTAGAGTTGAGAGTGTACACATGCATGTGCACACAGTTACCTGTACTTCAAAGGTAAAATATTTCTTTAGGTTTTTGATAATCATGACGAGGAAGGGAAGTTTAATTCCCAGTGTCTTCTTTGGGTCCGCAGGACATGTGATGTACGTAGTGCTGCAGAGAGAGGAGACACCAATAAACAAACTACTTGTCTTTTTTCCTGTGCGGTATGCACAGCAGTAAGACATGGCGGGCAGATCTAAAAGATCCAACGAGTCCCTCAACCCTTAAGTCAGCTGATGCTTTAAAATAATGCTGACCTCAGAAACAGAAGAACTTAGTACAGGACAAGATGACAACATATAATATCTGAAAAACAAAGTGAGACCAAGTGGATCTTAGGAAGTTCTTCCAGTGGGAGAAGACTTCGATTCTCCAAAAGAACTATCGAATGACAGAAACCCAAAACTAAGACCATAGTGGCACCGAAAACCATACTGGCCACCTACTGGACCATGACTTCAGAATGATTCATGCAACCCGCTCTGCCTTGGTTAAGTATTAATAATAGTTAATATTTCCACAGTACTTACTGTGTACTAAGCATGGTTCTAAGTGCTTTGTACATATTCACTTATTTAATCTTCACAATAACTCTATAGGGAAGAAGTACTGTTATTATCCCTACTTTACGGATAAGGAAACTAAGGCCCAGGGTAAGCTCTAAGTAGCAGAGCGGGGATTTATTTACACCAGGCTGTCTGACCCTGCAGTTGTGATATTAATCACTCTGCTATACTGCTTCCCTGGTGTACAATGTCTCTGAAAGCGTGGGCAACCTACCTGACATTTGTTCCTTCAATCTCAAGTACCAGGGACTGGATGTCGTTATCAGTGATTCTTTTGATGTGGCCATTCCGTACCTGCAAGGAAGAAAATTAGATTGGTCAGTACTGAAATCTCTGGAAGCAACCCTGTAAAGATTCTGAAGGCTGACTAAAACCATTCAAGGAAAACCAAGGTAGCCCAATGGGCATAACACAGAAGTTTGTGACACAGTATGTTGAAGCTTACTGCAAGCAAGAAAGCCAAGCCATTACTTTAAACAAGGTCCCGTCACCACCATGGGAATCCCAGGTAATCTGGCAATCTGTAAATCAGGATAAATTTCTTCTTGAAGAAATCAACTCAATTCAGATTCAACTAATATTTACTGAGTGCTTATCATGCACTAAGAACACTCATCTATATTCTCTCACTTAATCCTAACAAGAACAAAAATCCCAGGAAGGTGGCATTGTCTCCCCTGTACAGACGTGGACATTGAGACGCAGAGAGTGCAAACGACAGAGCCTAAGCAGGAGAGTCAGGATCAACAGGCAGGCTTTGCATTACCCCATACTGCCTCAAATACTCCTTCGGCCAGAAAGGTCAACAAAATGCTGAGTGTCACTAAGGAGAAGGGCAACCAAAAGGCGAAAGCATTACTCCCCTGGATTTACTCCTACTTATCTTCTTTTCCCTAAGTTCCTACTTCTTCAAGTATGAATTCAAGTCCTATCTGTGCCACACACAGAAGCGTTCTTCAGCCTTTCCAGCCCACACTGACCTCTCCCCTCTCTGATTTGTTTTTCTGGCTCACGTAGTCTAGACTACATAATTTAGCACTTCATTCTACATTGCTTTGTGCTGTTTACTGTACATGCAGGAAGTCCATGGTTCCATACTCAATACAGATTCCTCCCCTCAAAATATTTAGGAAAGAACAATTATCTTCCAGCATTAAACTCTTACGCACCTAATATGGACACAGCAGAGATATGCAAAGACACTTTCAGGGCAGGGCTGGACTGTTAGGGCCTGAATGTACTAACGCATGAAAAGATCAACCAGGAGAATGAGAAGCATCAGAAAGACAAACGTGGTCTTCTCTGCTCACCAAACCCATTGCCAACAAGTCGATTCTGACTCATAGCGACCGTATAGGACCGAACAGAAGTGCCCCATATGATTTCCAAAGAGCGGCTGGTGGGTTCGAACTGCTGACTTTTTGGTTAGCAGCCGAGCTCTTAACCACCAGGCCACCAGAGCTCCTGGTCTTCTCTAGGTATAGTGAAATGGCTGTGCTGGGCTGTCAAGTCAATGACTCAATTACACTGACTAAAGCTCCCCTTGGCTCACTAATCAGCCTTCTGATTACAATCTGGTTCTTCCTAAGATCTGCCTGTAGAGAGAGAACAGTGTGGAGTCTGTCTGACAGTTGTGTTTTTCAACATAGATTATTAATAATATGGCATTCTGTTTTTAGACATCTGTCTCTGTGAGCTCTGTTACTAGGAGTTTGATCCACTCCAGGTGTGTTTGGTGTTCCCCAGGTGACATCTGATATCACTGCCCACCTTTTTCTACAAGCTGCAAATGAGTCTTGTCTCCTCAAAAACTATGAGCTCAAGAGTAGGGGCCATCTCATCTTTTGTATCTTCCACAATGCTAGGCAGAAACTAAGCATTCAAATATTTGCTGACTTCTGGAATTTGTCACCCTAAGAGTTGGCACATATGAATAGGTTTGAGGGGATTTTTTTTTAATTCCTGGATAACATGGACTATTACAGGAAGCCAGAGATACTGGGGTATATGGCAAAGCCCGTGAGATAGCCACCATGAAGGGCAACTGCAACTGTGCTTTCCCACAATATAGCCTTTGGCGTCCATTGTCAAAGACAGAATGCTGGGCTCGATGGGCCCCCGATCTCTGCCAATGTAGCATTTCTTGGGTTCTCAAGACACAAACGTCACATTGAAGTGCTTCTCAAACAAAGCTGGCGACATCCAATGACCTCCTGCTTTGAATTCTGGGCCTCTTTCCAAGGGAGATTAAGAGCACAAAGGCTTGGGTCTGTGCAGAGCATGCCAACACTGCCCACCTCATTCCCCACAGAAATGCTCCCAACCAAAGTGGCAGTATGTCTCCTATACTCTCTGGCCCACAGCTGCCGTAGAAAATCGGTCAGACCTGCTAATGAAGAAAGAATTAACCAAGAATTTCTTCCAAATAATGTGATAAGAACTGGCAGTATGCCAATAAGATGCAAAACACTAATTTTAAAACATACCACTAATTATTCTCAGTAACTTTATTCTTTCTTAGAAAGGTACAGAATGCAAAGATCAAACGGACGGTCACATTGAAAGGATCAAGAAGTAATCAGGAGCAGAGGGCTACCACTGCTAAAAGGCAACATGTTGCTATTTATTCAACACTTTTGAAAAGTGTGGGCTCAACTCTTAAATCTCCAAAAGTCTCAGGCCAGAGTCAACAGAGGCCTCCCTCGATTCCAGCAAGCCCAGCCAGATCTTACAGGGAGAAAATGTTAGGGAATTTGCCTCCGGCCCATCTCAAAGTTTACAGCAGATGACTTCACTGAACACTCCAGCAAATGTGATATATTCGCGTCTTTACAGAAGAAAACAATGCCTTACACTGCGCAAAGCAACCAGAACACACTCTGCAGCATTCCGACGCGTCTGCCCCGGAGGCAAGCTGATTCTTAGTCGGACTTTCAATAACTTCCTAAAGAGAAGATTTCTCTCAACCACACTCACAAATTTAACTCTTACAAAATGGGTTAATGCATCCCACAAAACAAGAGAACTTGGAGGGAAAAAAAGCAGCTTTCTTTGAAGAAATGTCCATCGGTCTCTCTAGAGTTTTAATCTGGCTGGTGGTGAGACAAGCTAAACAGAGAAAGTAAATAGAGCCCAAGGAGAGAGCTCAATCTCTAAAAAAGAAAAAGAAAAAAAAAAGTGTTCCCGTATCATAAACTGCCAAAGCTTTGAAATCAAATTAAATTGAGATGTTAATAAAATTATGACTTTTCCACCTTATTAAGTTCAAAGGGCTACAAATACACACTCACCGGAAGAAAAGAGCAAGGCTGGAGGAGGGAGGCAATTAATCAGAAACATGAGTACCTAAGGACCTAGGGAGTCCCTGGGTGGTGCAAATGGTTAATTCAGTCGGCTGCTAACACAAACGTTAGGTTCAAGTCCACCCAGAGGTGCCCCAGAAGAAAGGCCTGGCGATCACTTTAGAAAAATTGGCCATTGAAAACCCTATGGAGCACAGTTCTACCCTGACACACATCATGGGGTCACCTTAAGTTGTAATTGACTTGAAGGCAAATGGTATGAGCACTTAGAGGGTGAGAAACTTCCCAAAGCTTCTCTAGGCTCTAAAACTAAGATCAAAGGGGATGCAGGGGAGGGGGTGGGCAATTTGGGGCAAGCCCTCCCAATCTGGCAATCTGGTTTATAAAGGTCTTCCAGGAAGTAACCCCCTCTCCTCCTCCAGGTTGTGACAAACACTTATAAGAAGATACATGCCCTCAGAAAGTACCAACTTCCTTTCCTTAGCTCCTTCCAGTTCAGAGGTCACTAGGCAGGCCTGGCTTTGAAATGAAGATAAAATGAACCGGTCAGCTTTTATTGCTCGCGGTGGAAGCAGATTTTATTTTACTTCCCTTTCTAAATCAGAGAGATTTAGATTCACCAATTGTTTTTGAGTTGCTTATTCTTTTTTATTTCATGATAAATTCCCACCATCAAAGTGTGGCCTATGAGTATTTTGTTCCTCCAGCAAAAATAAGTTAAAGCCAATCTTATGTTATCTGTTTCATGAACCTCATCCCTCGCCCCATGAGCTGGAGGGACCTAGGAGCTTCAGAACCCAGGCTGCTGGCAAACACAGATCTTCAGAACAGTTCTCAGCCTCTGCAGACACCAAGAAGGGAAACTTCAAGCCCTTCCTGCAATCACTCTCCCAGCTGGGGCGACTGATAAAGAACACTGATTTTTTCCCCCCTCAATGTAAGCCCCAGGGAGGAAAGTCAAGCTGAGGGGAAAAAAATACTACTGGGATAGGGAGGAAGCTGTCCAGTGCTCTATACTTCTAAGAGTGCTTTAAAAATAACATATGAATTGTATCCATTCTCTCCCTCCCCCCACTTTCATTTTTCTGGCTCCACCCACTTATCCTGGCAGACAGCTGAACCCTCAGCCATCTGGCATTCTAGTCTTAATGACACATGTTCCAATTTACATTAAGCCATTAGAGCTGTCCATACAGCAGGCAAGTTTCTGCCCTGGATTAGGGGCTGGGCTCAAACTCAGAAGACAGGAGGAGGGAGACCTCTGCAGGGCGAGATGGGCATAGCTCTGATTCATCGGCCCAGGCTTTGCAGGTTCCTTTCTTCCTACACTCACAGCGACTATCCAGACAGCAGACAGGCATCTCTGGGCATTTACGCCAACCCCTTGAAGTAAGGACCATTCTGTGCATTTCTAACCAGTCTCTTCCTAACCACGCCTCGACAGCGCAAGTGTTAACTAAAATCCATGCCTTTGTCCAATTACAGTAAAAAGTCGGAATCATGAAGAACACCATCTGTCTGACAGACCCAGGGAAAGTCTGAAGGAAAAAAAAAACCTTCATGTACAAACGTTATCCCTCCGTGTACTCAATTCTACCACTGGGAATCGCATCAGTTTAACATGTACCAACAAGGTCTGCTAATTAAAATGACGTGGGAACTTTTTTTCTGGAGAGGGACTTTGTTCATTTTTAAACTTTGGAACAGGGAATGTAAGCTAACACTATTCAACAACAACGAAGAACAAGACTTTGATTCTCATACTCAGTTTGGGAACGGGGAGAAGCAGCAGCAGCTGAAAGACACGGTGAAAGAGATGCTTTCATAAAGTTATACCTTCATCTTGTGGACTTTTAGGATAATATTTTCACTTATGATTGAAAATCCTACTACATTTTACACAGGCATGAGTAGGAATAGAACCTCATGGTACTTTCCTTACAAACCAGAACAATGCTTATATTAAACACAAGAGTCCTTTAATAAATGTAA